ATGTTGCTACTTTATTTTACAAATTGAGGAAACAAATAGAGAAGGAACAGTCCACACTGAATCACGGCCAATGCTGTGCAGTCCCAGTAGGGCAGCCACCTGCACTTTGTCTGCTGGCCCATTATAGACAGAGCAAATCGCTAGTCTGCAATTATCTGTCAAATGCCATTTCTAGCCAAGAGGCTGTTAAATTTACAGCAAAAGTTTGGGGGTTTTTCTTTCTGTTCTTTCTTCTTTTTTTTTTTTTCCCCTTCTTGCTGGTGAATCATTAAATTGGCTATTTTAACCTTGCTTCAGGGGACAGATGGCTAACCCTAAGGAAAAAAAGCAAGTTGCTATTTATGGTTTTCATCTTAAATAATCTTTGGGAATAAGCACTCCCCATCTCCATCTTAATAAAGGAGGTGTTTTGAAAAGGATGTGACTTTCTAAATCATTTTCTCAAGGGTACTTGTGCAGTTTTCAGCAGCTGCCCCCACATACACACTGTTGTGCATCTTATTCATCTTGCTGCATAGGTGTACTGCTGTAGAAACACAAAGGTTGAGAAGTACCCTCCAGTTCCCTGTCATAAGCACTGTTAAAAGAAAAAAATAAATCAAAGAATGGCAGTAGCTTCATGGTTATGTTTCTGTTCACAGCCATTGTCTACATATACTGCACTCATGATCCTCCTTTTATTCCTTATTTTGCTGCTGTAAAAAAAGTTGTTGCTTTTTTGATTTAGAGCTGCACAGAGGAAGATATGATGGTGCTTGTTCAGATTCAAGTTGTTTGTGGACTGTACTGTTTGTTTTTTCTAATGCAGGAAAATGAGTTGCAGTAGTAAAGTTCACCAAATATTAGAAGTCTGTTTGAAGATAAAGTTGCTGACATGTGATGATACAATCATTTTATAACCAAAGTGATATCACACACTATTCTTTTGATTCCAGAGCCTATGACAATTTTAAAACTGGAACATTTGTTCTCTATAAGAGTACATCTCGAGATTTTGAAGTTCACGTTCGCCAGTGGGACTGTGGAAGTCTTCACTACCCAGCATCCTGTAACTGTGGCTTTGTTGCCAAGGAAGGAAGTGATATAATTGCATTTGACATGTGCAGTGGTCAGCTACATGAGTCACAGCCACACTTGTCTGTAATAAACAGAGACACAACAGGAAGCAATGTCAGGATCACTGAATCCTACCTAGGAAGAAAAGTAACAGTAAGTGGTAAACAATTGTTCATGGAATAGGTAAAATAAAAAATCATGTTTCTCATGATGTCTTAAATCTCTTTTTAGGTTTTGTTTTCTTCTGGAGCTTTTGTTCGTGCTGATGTGAGTGAATGGGGAATGAGCATAACACTTCGGGCACCCAGTTCAGATTACAGGCATACAGTGGGACTCTGTGGCACCTTTGATGGAAGTGCTGAGAATGACTATCACACTGCAAGTGGGGTGGAAATCCCAAACCACACTAACGTTCCTCTTTCTTTTATTAAGGAATGGAGGTAACTGTTTAAACACTTCTTTTTAAATCAAGCGTCATAGTTTTTGGTTCTGCTTTTCCTTCACACTCTTGAAATCTTATCAAAATAATGAAAAAAATCTTTATTTTTAAGTTAATGTTAGATTGCCATAATTACAGTCCACAATTAATTTAAAAGAAAATTAAAACCTAACTGCCAAAGAAGTATTTAAGTACTGTGATGTAAGATTAGTTTGATTAGGTTTTGAGCAAAGTATCAAGGTATACAGAAAATACTCACGCTTCTCAGTTCTTTTATTTTAACTTATTCTCATGGTTCTGTTTTAACTGGTCTTTAAATATTGCTGTGTGCCGCAGATTCAGTGACCTCTGCTGTAGAAGTATGAAACAAAAAAGCCCAAAACAAATGTTAATATTTTAGTGACACCATGAAAACAGATGATACAGTTTCATTTTTTCATTCTTCCCTAGAATTTCAGAGAGCTGGTTTGACAAGACACCTGCTTCTTTAACAACATCCAGAAAAATAGTCTTCTGTGACTGTGCACTTGAGGATGCTGGATTATATCCATCAGTGAACAAACTGGAGACAGTTTCTCAGTCAGAACCTACTTTGTCTTGTAAAGAAAGTGAAAATGGTAGATTTCTTTCTTTGATACCAGGTCTGGATGTCACTGCTGAGTATCTCGGTCCTGTTGGTCTTGTCAGAGGCTTAAAGAAACGTTCATCTGCACATGAAGTGGATTCATCTACACTCCTGGAGAGGGAGGATAATCAAACCAAACTTCACAAAACATCACTAGTAGACTCACGTGACTCTGCAACCTCAGTGGGAAATACTGGTACAGAAAGAACAGGAATTTCAAGCTCAGACATTAGAAGAAATTCTCACCATTACAATAGTCATCTTCACAAAAGTCAGTCTGTTACAAGTAGAGGGAAGCGCCAAAATTATTATGAATACCATCCGGTATTCCTGTTCCAAAGTCTTAGCCAAACAGACTTAGAGGGATACAGTTATTTTTTCCCAGAGGACCATGCGACTGACACAGACCAAAGGTTCCTTCCTTCTTGGCCCACACCTTCAGGCCTCACTGAGTCTAGTGCTATGCTCCTGTGCCAGCAGGCAATAGCTAATTCCAGTATAGGAAGATCTTGTGGTGCCCTTCTTGGCCATCGAACAGAGGATGCAATAGTTATGTGTGTTAAAGATTTGCTGCTGAAAGATGACCTCCATTGGGCACAAGCTTCCTTAGCTCTTCTGGAGAATGAATGTGAGAAAAGAATTTTAGAAGAAATAAATTACAACCCACAGGAACTCGAAGGATCAGTTGAGAGCCTACTTACTGCATTAAAGTGTCCCAGTCTCTGCAGTGGTAATGGGGAGTGTACAGAATGGGGCTGTGCATGTTTTCAAGGCTACAGCTCATATGACTGCAGCATACTGTCTGGTAAGCGGTGGAAAAAATGAGATTTGCTTAACTAATGTTCTCAGTGTTTGTACAATGTACATTTATTTTGCTGCCTTTCTCTCCTGCTTTTGTACATGGACAAGACTTCCCAATGGTGACCCTGTTCATTACCCAACAATTTAGTTCCAGTTTACTACAGCTATAATTATTTTCCATTCAACCTTCTTGTTTCTGAAGGACCAAACATGGGCTTAGTTTCTGGTACATCGGATTTAAAAAGTTTACCACTAGGTCAATTCGCAATCCAGAGTATTGCCCCAAGCAATGTCTCCTTCAGGGACAATCTGCCACATCCATCCCTTCCCTAATTTTTTATTGTCCATGTGATCCTGTTCCTTAATTGTAAGTGGGATGTTTTTCTCTTTGGTGATGTAAGAATTCATAGTAAAGAAAATAGAGGTATAGCAAATAGAGCTAGGCAGGGTTTTTTCATTTTCAATAAATAAATTCACTAAAAATTCAGTTAAGCACTGGAAAAATATGAACAGTACTACAGAAGTCAAAACTCTTTCAAATTAAAACCTGCTAATATTTTGGTTCGAAATGGTGTTTTTGTTTTAGTGACCTAAAGGCAAATAGAGAAAGAGGTAAGAGAATAATAAAGAGAAATATTTTATTCCTCATGAATTTGAATAAGCTGGTTTTACTTCATAAAAGCTATTTTTTAGTGTTCTAATCTATCAGTTTATTTCCTGAAATAACTTCCACCTGAGATATTTTTGTTTAGTCTTTCATAAAAAAAAATCCCATTTGCATGGAGACCTCATGGCAACTTTTCAATATCTGAAGGGCCTGCAAGGGAGCTGGAGAGGGACTCTTTGATAGGAACTGCAATGATAGGACAAGGGGTAATGGATTCAAACTAAAGGAGGGGAAGTTTAGGTTAGATATTAGAAAAATATTTTTACTCTGAGGGTGGTGAGACATTAGAACAGGTTGCCCAGGGATGTGGTGGCTGCCCCAAACCTGGGGGTGTTCAAGACCAGGCTGGATGAAGCCTTGAGCAACCTGATCTAGTGAGGAGGTGTCCCTGCCCATGACAGGGGGTCTAGGACTAGATGATCTGTAAGGTCCATTCTGACCCTTACATTCTATGATTATTGCATGACTGACACCTTTCCAGTTCCTGTTACTAAGGCCTGAGTTTCATTTCAGTTTTATTCTGCAAGCGTGATGTAGAGAAAACACAGCTGAGAAAGCAAAACGTATTCACAAGTGCTTGCTATGAGTTGAATTTTCTCTGATTCATAATATTCAGGTTCCTAGAGAAGACAGAAACCTAGCTTTAAATTTAAGATCCATTTTACAATAAAAAGATCTTTCTGTTTAAACCTTTCTTCAGCTGAGTCCATATTTTGTTGTTTATATAGTTTTTACAGTTGGATAGAAAAATAAACATATTGCTCAATGTAAACACATATGAATGAGTTACTATACTGGCATTTATTGTCTAATCTCTACTTCCAAGACCAGGCTCCAGAAATTACAGAGCTGGAGAATGCTGGGCTGTGTGATATTCGACAGTATGACTGCACATCAGTGAGAGCTTTTGGACATGGCTTCAGGGAGTCATTGAACCTGAAATGTGAAGTCATCAAATTGCAGGTAGGTCTCCCTGAATACCAATAATTGCTTTTTAAACTTATTGTCGAACAAGGGGAAAACGTCTAACATGTTATTCATTGACATGAGTACAACCCAATGATTTAGTCGAAGCTAAAAGCAAAGGCACTCAGCACTTTGCAGCAGACACTCAAGTCTTTGTAAGATTGCCATTTCCTCCATGATAAGAGAAATACAAAACATAATGGGAATGTTCAGCAGCCGAGAGGGAGATAACAGCATACGGCAGTTATCCATCAGAAAAGGGCAAGGGCAGCCCTATTAGTAACAACCAGTACATTGTTGTTCGTTTTTTAAGTGCTTATGGAGAGGAATTGAAGTACCACTTCTTTGGAAAAGAACTGCAAGGTTAAAGACATTACTAGATTTCTGTCTCAAATCTAATGCTTGAAATAGCCCTGTTATAAGCATAATAAATCTGTTAGGAAAAGAGAAGGCACTTTTGACACATTGTTCATTTCCCCGGGGTAGAATACCATGGCTATTTAATGACATATGTCAGCTCTATACCCTAGATTTGAACAGGAGATTAAAAAATGTTGCACTGTAAACTAAGGGGAATCTGTATAGAGAGACTGTTGTTACTCAGAGCTAGAATTTGCTCAAGGATAATATACAAGCAGTTTACAAGTGTTGGCCTGAAATAAAGAATCAGCAATTACAAGTTCTTACGTCATGTTGCACACGAGAACAAAACAAGCTTCAAAGTAAAACTGGGTTTCATTGATGTGATCATGGAGGAGGTGAGAGTTGGTGAAAGAGGAACCATTCAATGGGAAATTTTGTTCTCAAGAGAAGTTTTCCTTGGCTAGTTCCAGCAGATGCTAGCTATAGACTTTTCTTAGTCTCAACATATATCCACTCAAGTTGACCTGAAATGATAGTCAAGTGTGCGTTTGCACTCCATTAGGTTATAAGACTTTTAGACCAAGCTCACAGTATGATGATTATTGGGAATTCACTTACCACAGTTTGAAAAGTCTGGTTTAACTCATGGCAAGATATTCTGAGATCTCTCTTTGTCATGGTGTATTTGCCTCCCAACTACAAAAACTTTCTATTTAATCAGTTTTAGTGATGATGATCTCACTGAAAAGAGCCAGTTTACTGCAGTTTGCTGCAATTGAGGAGGAAGCTGCAAATTTTTTCCTTGAGAATACAAAAGAAAGGATGATTGGAGTTTTGTTAATTTTTCAGGCTGGAGTGATAGTGAATATATGGAAATGTCAATGGACTTGCAACAGTGTAGAACTCCACATATTTTGAGATTGAACTTTAATGGTCAAAAATTCATAGAAGAAGCATTTTGACAAAGTTTAAAATGTTTTAGTTTCAATATTTTCACTTTTGAAATGTTAAATCAAACCTGCTGTCCATGTGCTGCCTTACCCAGAAGAGGGTAGGATCTTGATAGAGGATTGGGTGGGACATGACAAGGAACCTATGATTACAGAGATACAGAATTTACTAAGATTTTTGTAAAGGATGAGAGTATGTTTAACCTCTTCAAAACAAAAAAACAGTTTTATTTCCTTATGTTTTACATCAAACTCCAGAAGTTTTTCAATGAACCTAATGAGCTGGAATGCTAGTAGATCTGAAGGCTTTTTAATTGGTTTTTGAAAGGTTAATCTGTTTCTGAAAAAATTATCTGAACTTGCCTCCAGCTAATAACAAAAAGTTTCTGGAGAAATAGACTATCACATTTCAAAGGTTACAGTACTAAATGTACTCAAAATGACATGTTTAGAAATATTTAGCTTTTATGCTTTCACTTACCCTTGCTGTGAATTCTTTAAGTGAGTATAGGGTAAAAGAAAAACAAAACATTTGGTTGGAACAAAAATAGCTCACATGTCTTTTTAACGGAAGTGTTTATTTTTCAGTCTGATGTAAAAAAAAAGGGGGAAAAAAAAAAAAAAAAAGCAAAGCCTATACAGCAGATGACTCCCATGTGTGGATTGGGATTGAATAAATGTCTCGATTGGCTCCAGAAACTAAAAAAATGTGTCAGCTTATTAAAACCTAGTCAAGCTCAAAATTATTTTTACTTACTGTTCACTTGATTCTTAAGTCTGTCTGGATTCTTACTTCCATCTAACCTTATTTACTTTCTGTATGCTTATCCGTACTTCCACATCAATACTTCAGGCAAATAGTATTATCATCCTTATTCTGTTACCTTGAGCTTTCAAGATGGATCCTGGAATGACTTATCTTCACTGCAGTTTAGAACAAAGTCTACAGGGTCAATGGTGTTTTGTTCTATTGAACAATCTATCGGCTTGTACAAGGGCTAAATGGCTAACTGCCAGTATTCTCCCAGCACCCAGAATGATACCTGAGCCCTGGCAAAAACCTCATCTGTTCCTTGAAACCTGTCCTCACATCGGAACAGAGATGGAACGGGACAGAGGCACTCACACGTCAGATCAGTGCTGTTAGAGAATCACCCACTGCTTAGCCCTCCTATTACTCTCCATCTGGAAGAACTGTTTGTCCTTGGCAATGCAGTGCCAAAGGGTCATGTGTCAGGAAAGACTTCTCTGCCTTTTCTTCCACAGTAGCAGGCTTAGTAAAAATCTATGTGTGCAAATAATGTCATTTAATAATTTCCACTGCATTCTAGTCCAGGTACATTAGACTTGTTCAAACTCTATGCAATACATGTTTTTTTGTCTCTGATAAAAAATATTTTTATGATGCAGTTCACTGAAAAACAGATTTTCTGTCTTCACATCTAGTATAGTGATAGACAATGGATTCCTGGAGAAGCTCTAACTATGCCAGCTGCCTTCCAAAATGCCAGGACTGTTGACTGCCAGTTACCAAATGATGGCCAGCAGTCTGATGTCATGGATGTGGTTGATGATAAACCCATTGCCAGGTGGCAAATAAAGGTACTCACAGAAATTTCAGATATTCACTTGCAAATATTTCAAGTAAGATGGAAATACATCACATATATATTATCCTTTTTTTTATAGTACTAAAGGTGGAACTCAGCCTGTTTAACTTGTGTTCTCAGTTTCATCACCTAAGCTTAAGTATCAAGTGTCATTTGATAGTGTTCTCGTGCAAAGGGACTGGTAAATATGACCTAGGGCCTACAGAGACCATGTTCTTCAAGACTAGAAGTTAAAGGCCAGGTAGTTACCTAGAGCATTTCTAATGTCATTGGATACATTTATGGTAGAATTGAGTTGAGCTCAGCCCACGTGTATGAATCCCTGTGTGAGGCAAATGTCTGAGCTCTCATACAGATTGAGTCAATAAGGTCAATAGAGCCTGCACATTATTCAATTCACTGTAAAGTAGACACCTACATGAGGTTGATCAAATATCTGCCTAGACATATTGGCAGGTTTGATTAGGTTTCTGATGACTGTTGTGGGAGTTTAAACACCTGTATGTAGGTGTCTATTAATGAGTTGAAGCTCAGGGTAGCAGCCCACACTGGTGATACATTGATACCTGTATTGGTTAATCCACTTCTGTTGTACACCTTGCAGATTTCCAATGACGGATTAATTTATAGCAACTCTAAAACAATGATATTATATGACGGAGCCTGTCAGACATGTGAACCACAAGAATCTGGGTTATGCACATTAAAGGTAAGTGTTTCACTACTCTCTATGTTTATTATGAAAATACACTTTTTTTTCAGGCAGAAAAAAAATGGCTGTTTAACTGATCACAGAATTAATCAGGCTGGAAAAGACCTCAGAGCTTATCAGTCCCAACCTATGACCTAACACTACCATGTCAACTAGACCATGACACTAAGTGCCATGTCCAGTCTCTCCTAGAACACCTCCAGGGATGATGAATCCACCACCTCCCTGGACAGTATATTCCAATGTCTAATCACCCTTTCTGTGAAGAAATTCTTCCTAATGTCTAATCTAAACCTCCCTCGTGCACCTTGAGACAATGAAATCTAGAAAAATCAGCAGAACATACCCTTGTATCTGTTTGCAATGGGGATTTTCTATGCACAGAAATTATATGTGCAGAAAGAGAAACTGGGATGAGGCAATTTTAAATTTAAAGAATCAGACCAAAAGTAGTTCGTATAATTACCAAATAAAACTAAACTTGGTGTGAGTTGTTTAGATTTAAAAACAAGGTTAGTTGTGTAATGGAAGTACAGAATGATTAGATTTTTTCCTGGAAAAGCTGTCAGCCCACGGCTTGGACAGGGGCACTCTCTGCTGGGTTAAGAACTGGCTGGATGGCCTAGAGAGTGGTGGTGAACGGTGGTGCGTCCAGTTGTTGGTTGGTCACTAGTGGTGCTCCCCAGGGGT